TATGGGATACGTACGGGCAGTGTTCATGGGACACGGTGGCTTCTCATTTTAGGGCATCTAAATTCAGAATTACTCACTCAGACTGAGAGGGACAACTATCTGCTATCTGACTTACATATTAAAAATACTGAGACCAAGCTGATCACAAACAGCATCACTGTAAAGTGAAACTATCCAGACCTGTTGACACTAGGTAGGAAAAAAAAAAAAAAACAAACAACAACAAAGACACACAAAGCCAGCCAGGAAAAGTATTCTTTAATGTCATCTGCCTAGAACCTTTGAGTTACTGATGTAACTTAGCAAACATTTCAAGCTGTTTACAAAGTTCTGGCTGAAGTTACTGTAATTACAAAAAAAAAAATTTAATTAATGTTTTATAAAACTCAAACTATAAAGCTTTTAGTTCCTTGTCATTGAAAGTTATTCTTCACCTCATTATAATAGTCTTATTTCAGCATTTAGCACCACTATAATAACAAATACTGATTTTAGGGAGTTAAGAGATTAAAGGATGGTACTTAAAGCATAATTCAAAATATTACATTATACATGACACCATGAATCTGCAAATATGCTCAGTTTTATTAAGAAAAAAGTTCTTGTATGCTTCCTTGATGCTGTCAAATTATTTATCTCTTGAACAAGTGAATGAGGAAAATAACAGCATGAAATTTCCTATCATTGAAGCAAACTAATTCTGGGCCTCACAAACCAGTGATAGCCATTTATTTTAGAGGTTTAATATTTGACCAGCAAGGCAATCTAATACTAATCATTTGCCACCAGTCCTTAAACTAAGTGACAAAACCAAGAATGCCAATATCTCCAGAAGATCTGCTCTGACACTACAGAAACACAAAATATTTTGTTTTCTTGATTAAAAAGTTACAGCAATCCCAAAGAAAACGCAAAGGTAAGACAGGAAGAGCCCTTTAAGATCTTTACTATTCAGAATTAATCAAAGCAAAACAGTCATCCTAGTGATAATCCCCTTTAGTGCTTCACAGTTTATGCAATAGTCAATTACTAAAGAGGATGAAAGACAGAACAATCTTTGCAAATAGGTCACTGTCTATATTTATAATGATTAAAACCAGCCTGCTACTAAAAGTAACTTTTAATAAGCATAAAAAGTAACATTAAGACCAGGCATGTATTTACTCTTAAATATATACTATGTCTCCTGTGACAGAAGAGGAGGTAGCACTGATCAGACACAAAGTTATTTCCCATAGGTCATGCATTAGCATTGCTGAAAGCAGACTCTAATTTCTTTCTGTAACAACTTTATTCCAAAGTATTATCCTCAAAGATAACACTTAAATATCCTGGACATGATCTCTGAACTTACCCAACTCTCTCCCTGTCTGCACACCTTCTCTCTCAAAACTTATTATTAGATTTTACCTGCAAACTCTGCCCAAGGCTGATTTCAAGACCATTTTAAATGTCTTCTACTTTTGCTTCATCTTTTCCTGCCTGTTTAGGCATGCCTGAACATGTAATTTTTTTTTTCTTCAGAACAATTACTGAGGTCTCTCCTACTGCATATTGCTGGGACCTCCCATCTGCTTCTTTCAAGTACTATCCATATCTGCTGAAGAATTCCTCTTGCAAAATTTTCTTTTCCCTCGCATTTCCAGCACCTCTGAGTATTTTTGACCTTCCTAGGGGATCAGCACATCACACCTGACAACAGTTTCCTAAAATTTTATTGAATTGCATGGATTCTCACACCTTCAAGTGACACCATCATGTCAGTGATTCTTACACCCAGCTGTGCATTCGCTCCTGAACCATTTCATTCAGTTCCAATTCTACCAGCAGTTACTGTCTCCACCAGAGATTTAAATCTGGTTAAATTGAAACTTGTTTCCTGTCAAGCCCTACTTCCTCTAATTACCTCCAGCCTTCCTAGTCCATAAACTAACATGACTCTTACAATGCCTTATGCACCACAGTTGCACCCAATAGTGGGAATTTCTTTGCATAAAATGTGAAGAATGTTCATTTCCCAGTCCTGAGGTTTCTCTTAACCAGATCCTGTGCCACATCTCCATTAGCAAATACTTCTGCTCACACTGCCACCTCTCTATCCTTCATTTCATATATCTCATCTGCTAAAAAAAAAAAAAAAAAAATCTTTCTTTTATGCAGTACTTTGGAGGCTCTGGATTTTCCAGGATTTCCACAGCCAGCATGCCCATGAGCTCAAGACTGTACAGTTGCAGAACCTGCACTTCATTACTGCAAAGGAGAAGGAGGATCATCTTCTGGGAATAATGTAACCACCTCTTAGAAGAATCTCCTAACAGAAGCATTCCTCTGAAAACACACTGAAGGTTGGGCCAAAGCTGAATACTATCACCTCAATACCCCCAAAAAAATTACCCACACAAAGGTATTATTAGTAAGGTCATTCTAGCTTCTAATCTTACAAATTTAAGAGAAAACACCTGTAGCTTAAGAGTTTATTACAATGCAGACTGCATAAAACTGAACTCTACAGCAGGCAGGGGAGGGAGAAGCACAGTCAAGTCTTGTGAAGTGAAATCCTGTTTATGCGTGAAAGCCGGGAACTTGATGTTCTCACTACAGACTAAGAGCAATAAAAACAGCTTTCTGAGCCATTAATTTCTGCACAGCTGATTTCTACTAAACAATGCTCATTATTGAAAGAATTCTAAAAAACCGCCAGGCTGTTCCAGTGAGAAGCCTGGCACTCCGAATATTTAGACTGAGCTAACGGTGACATCAGTGCTACCACTGCTTTAATCCCCACGGCTACTAAATGTCAAACATTTTCATTGTATTTAAAGAGCTTGTGATTACGCACAATGAGATTAAGTTACAAAATAAGACGAACTGCAAGGCACAGCGAGCACCCGCGCTCTCCTTGCCCTAGACTGCGATAATGGCAAGTTCTTCAGCAACATCAGTCAGAAACTGCCACAAGTTTTCCACAGCCCAAATCCGGGATTTTTAGCATTTATTTTTAAGCACTGTGAAAACTCCCCTCTTCAGACCTTCCATAACCCAGTGAAGTCTACAGTATGTGCATTGCTGCCCCGTTTAAATCCAAAGTTATAAATTGGTTGAGTACAGTGGGGCAGGGTGAGAGAGGGGAGAAAGGTGAAAAGATTAAGTGTCACTGCACCAACAGGCACAAAGTCCAGTGAAAACTGAGCAGCAGGCCATATATTTATTATTCACAAAAGACACCCATGTAATATTAATTCCATCTACTTTAGAGAAGGAAATGCATCAAATTATATCAACACAGAAGAAGGAACTGTCCCAACATGCAATATAAATTTTAATGTGGTAAACTATTTAAAGTAGGATATACTTTCTAAGCATTCCTTAATATTCTCATAATCTGTTTGGCAATCGATTACTATGGCAGTCAACAGGCCAACACATGCTTCTAAAATAAATATCTAATTATCATTTTATCGTTCCAACTGGCTCATATCAACTACACTGAGCTAGGACAGTGCTGTAAAGAAAGTGTAAGAAAGCTCATTGGTATACAATTGGTAACTCATTGCATACAAAAGACATTATTGAAGAAAAGAAATTAAATTCAGCAATCGTATTTATTCCTTCTCTGGGGGCAGGGGAGTGAAGCTAAAATAAAATTATCATGAAATATACAAATATTAGAGGCATATTGTCCCATAACTAGAGAAACTCTGAATTTCAAGAATGAGGCCAAAAATATAGTAGGATATTGAAAAACCAATGATTCTAAGTATTTCAATAAATATATATGAGCTCATACAGTTCAAGACTACATAAATCACCTAATAAATCTTCTATCTTTAAGATCTTCCTACACTGACTCATTCCTAAGCAGATTTGTCTTCATTGTGTCTTATCTTACTGATTCACAGCTCTCAATGGTTTTCAATTTCTAAAGTTAGCATCAAGTTTGACTTGAGATCCTCTGGTACTCTGAATACATGCTGCCAAGTGGAATTTAACCAAATCAGTTTTACCCAAGCAACAACAGTTTCAACAACAGTTCCACACTACAGAGTAAGAAAGTTCAAGACCAGGGAGCGTTTAAAAGAACTTAAAATAATTTAACATCTCCCTACAGAAAGATGGGGGAGGCAGATGTGAGGTGGGGGAATTATCTACATACACACACACATATATAATTATGTGTATGTACACATACATCACTGGTTTAAGAACAAACCTGGATTACAACACACTAATTAACTTGGTTACCAGTACCAGAAGTGACCTGATTAAGTCAGTTCTAATCTTTTGGTGGGGGCGGGGTAGGCCTGTTAAAAAAAACAATAAAGACTGAGAGAAACTGCTTTACTAAGGACAAAGGCCATCAATGCTCAGTTTTAGCCTGAAGTAGGAGTACACCATTCCTGAGATTCTTCCATACTAATTAACAAACTCACATGTTTTGAGTTTTAATCTAGAGTAAAGTTGTGAGAAGCGGAATTGGCAGGGCTGACTCATTAAAAAAGTCTACAAATAAAATAATCAAGCCAGAAATTAAACTCCATGAAAATCTTAAGTGTAACATTTTAAAACTATTAAACCCACTCATAAATTAATTTACAGCTCTTATGCTACCTATACACACCTAGGAAAAATTAACAGTAACTAGCACTGTTATTTCAACAAGCCAAGTAGTGAGGAGTTACAGCAGTAGGCTCCCTTCCTCTGAAAGAAAATATAACCCAAATTCAGTGTCATATCAAAACAATCTTAATAAAGAAAGAACAATAGCGTTTCTGTAACTTTCAATCACAGTATAATGTAAATGGAATTCCCAAAGCACAGTAATTCTGCAAGGACTAGAGCTATACTCATCAACTGTTCAGATTCCAATAACAAGTTCATGCTGAGAGAAGACATTTTTACTTCCTCTGAATTTATTAGCAATAAATCTCAAAACAGTAGCAAGCAATTACGGCAATAATGAGAGAAAACAAATCACATACAGGGGCCATTTTTTAGCTTACCTGTGCTTGTTCCGTGGAGCTACTACTGAGTTCATCTCCAGACTCTGAATCTTGGTGAATTTTTTCTGAGCCTTCTCCTGCTGAATCACAAGATTGTTCATGCAAAAAGCTGGTCTTCTCTATTTCCAAGAACTCTGGGCATGGGAAATGACCCATGGAGATGGTTCTAAACTGATTGGAAACCTTGGGAGATTGCAACTCGTTGTTAAGTTTTCCATTGTTTTGGGTAAGGTCCAGACTCAAACCAAGAGTTTGAGCAGGGGTACTGTTCGGTCCCAGATTTTGATTGGCATCTCGAACTAAGCAAGACACTTGAACTGGAGATTTTCCAAAACTAGAAAGCTCTGGTGACTTATTCACATTTTCTGTCGATCTCTGTAATCCATGTGTCAACTTCAAAGTGTTATTTGGCAGCATGCTTGCCTGCTTAACAGGTGGCATCAGTGCTTTTCGGGGTATTTCCTTCACGTACTGTGCTGGCACATAAAAGGGTTTGGAATTTTCGTCTCTTTTGACCTGCCACCAATCATCATTAGTTTTTTTCACTAAGATGTATTTCTCCCCTTGCTTAATCACAATTTTCTTGTCCTTGGCCTCGTACTCATAGTCGTACTCCACTTGAATGTACAATTGTCCTGGAAGGATCTTTCCACCCTTATCAGCCATTTCTGTTTGAAAAGATTTCACCTTTTCAGGCAAAAGGTAAGCAACATTCTGTTCCAGTATTATTTTCCCGTTAATAATCAGAGCTGTAAGACAAAAAGCGTATATGCAATAAAGTGATTGTTTAAGACAACTACAGGAGAAAATAATTTCAAAAGTAATCCTGCCTATGTCAACCTTAGACTAATTAATTGATGGAAAAGTGCAGTATTTTCAGATATCTCTCCTGGTGATGAAACAGAAAAATCAGTAGAACAGCTGCCACCGATTTAACTCTCCTATTCACACAAGTCTCCTGCTATCAAATGGCTTGTTATTTCTTTTACTAAATAAGGTTGATTGATCATCAGAGGTTTGGTGGGAGGACTGGTCTGAGTCAATCTCTTGCTCACACACAGGCTTAATTTCTTCACGAAACTGTGTTACTACACTGATTTTAATCAAAATAGTCAAAAGAAGACTATTATTCCCTTATTTTGATTCCTCTTTCAGTTCAGGACTTCCTTCAGAGTGCTCAGCATTCCTTACAGAATCCCTTCAATCTTCCTGCAGTGCTACACCCCAGTCACTAGGTTCAGAATGTACTGGCAATCCCTGACCCACATGTGTTGCAGGCCCCAGAGAGCCTGCTCACCTTCTCACTGGAGCAGGAGACAACCGGGGGTTGCATGACCCACGCTGCCTAAGGCTGCAGGTCATGTTGCCTTTTAAACAAGTGGTATAATCACTTTTTCTTATTCATTTATCTAAATTGCTACTATAACTGCAACACCCAGAATCATGGTAGTATGAGATAAAAGTATTCAACATTTCCCAAATACTTTGGTTTCATTGGTTTAAATTCTGTATATTAAGTTTGCTCTTAAGAGAGCTTTTTGTGATACTTAACTCATAGAAAACCTGATCTAACCAAAGATTTAAGGGTTAAAACTGAAAATGCAAACAAAAACCTCAACAGTAATAAAAAAGGACTATGAACCAAAACTAAAATGGATAATAAATGAAAGGATAATAATACATGAAAATTTTTAAAAGTACTTTCAGCACCTTATAATCCAGACAACTGCATCCACACCCATGAATTACAAGTTCTCTCTATTTAATCATGTAGCACTAATGTCAGAATTCATGAGTGGATAAGCATCAGTCTTGCCAACTTACACTGAACAAAACATAGTAAATTAACATGAAAGATGTGATTTTTAATCTTGAAAAACAACGCATGAAAGTAAATGGAAAGACCTCCAGCATTCACAGAGAACATAGGAAAATTCAAGTAAAATGCTGCCACATTTAATCTTATAAAGATTAACAAACACATCTTTTCATTTTTAAATCCATGCTTAATGAATAAAAAAAGTTATGTAGAAACTTGTAGCTCTGCAAGTTAAGACTTTATGATGAGATTTGTAGCATTTACCCTGCCACAGAGGGGAACTAATGCAATTCTATGCAGGCACACACATGCAGAGTGAACTCAGTTCCTAAACAGTACTACAGACAGAAATAACAAAAAAGAACTTCTGGGGAGAGCTAAAGCAGAAACCACTGAGAGTTCTTCAGTTTTCTTTTGCCACTTCTGTTATTTGATCTGAGCCTTGAAAAAAATACATTTGCCACATAACTTAGGAGAAAAAGTAGAAGGTAAAAAGCTAAAGTATGATGCCAAGACAGAAGTGCCCATCTTTAATATGTGTCTTTCTCTCTCTTGCATCCATCATCTTTTACTTCCAGAAAGCATTTCCTACAGGTAACTAGAAAGCAACCACCATTTACAGGACTCTAAATGGAATCACAAAGCCAGATTTACAATTTTATCGAGGACTTGGCAGAAGGAATGATGGTACCACATTCAACAAAGCTGACAATAGGAACACAAAGCAGTAGAAAAGAATGCCAGGATTCTGGTGTTTACTCTCTACCATAAAATGGTACGTTGACATTCATATTATTACAGTCTATTTGCAGCCTCGGTACAAAACAACTTGCTTACCTGCTGCTCTACATAAATAGATATTTTCAAGTGCAGCTCTGCAGTTGTTTAGCAACAATAGCAGGAGGTAAACATGAACAAATTGCAGCCATTCCCACTCTGTTCCTAGTTTTGGAAGCTCTGCCATGCAAGTGTTATTTTTTTCTTGTTACTAAACCAGACTTCTTGCAACACTTCTTCAAAGTTGTTACCAACACCTTTCATGGCTTCCAGGTCATATGCCAGAAAAATGCAAGTCTTACCGAGTTGCAGTCTACCTCAAAGCTCTGCTACCACAAAAGTTGAATATAGAGAAACAGTGAATGGGTCCTTGCCCTTTCTCTCACACAGAAACCAAAAACAGAACATAAGCCTCCCGTTTCCCACAGGGCTAACAAGTGTTTAAAAGCTTGAATTTTTCATTTCTCTTCTGCCAGTTCCAAATGACTATTTATTGAGAATGCATGCTTAAAATTTTTTCAAGACAGAGAGATTCAACAAGTTGCATTTTATGTTTAAAAAACCACAAAATTTTAAGAAATACTAGTTAAATAAAACAGAACCGCTACAAAAATAGTTCTATCCACTTCTGAAGTCAGTTTTGCAGTCTCATCCCTTTCCAAAACAACAACAAAAAAAGAAACAACAAAAATAAACAGCAGAAATTTTGTTCTTTCATCCAAGCTACAAAATTATCAAGTCAATAGCAAACATTTGGTAATGTTGAACATATGATCAAAAAGAGACAGGCTCTGTTCTGTGTTTGGCCAGAACACCAAAGCAGTTATACAAAGAGATCACATCATCAGGATCAAGAAAGGCTCTAATTCTCCTCCACAACACAGAAGAAAGAGATACCTATGGTATAGGTGGGAAATTAACCCTGTAGGTCTGCAAACAAATACCATGACCTTGATTTAATTCAAATGCATTAATTTTTATTTTGCTTGAATTTTTTTAATGCAGCTGTTGTGTCACGTACTCTATGTGCAGCACAGAGGATGGCTAATTGTAATGTCCTTTCATGAAGCTGTCTCAGAGAACACAGATTGAAGAGCCATGGAAGCCTTGATCAGACCTCCCCTATGAGGGGTTCACAATGAAGCAGGTGTGAATGCACAATATTGACATTTGGAGTACTGACTTCATTATGTTACTAATCAACAACTGAAGTGATATGGCTGGTCAGACCTTGTAACCTCACTGCATTTGTTTTCCTTTACAATTACCTGTAACGCTGATGGCACCCAATTTAGTAAAGAAGGTTGAAGAACCCTAATTAGAGGACAATAAGTATGAAAAATCATTTACTGTAAGCTTTAATACCTCAAATACAGTCTCAATATCTGATTAAGAGGTTAATAATAACAAATGGTCTCACTAGCAATGAAGACCTAAGAAAACTTATTCATGAACACCAAAAAACAGACTCAGGCCTCACTTTTATTCTAGTGAGGAAAAACCCAATCGCTACAGGGTAGCTAAGGTGGGCCACATCCCTATGTGGAAACATGAACCACGTCTTTCACGGAGCATTCACGCTGTCCCGCGAGAGAGGACACGGGTGATGACACGCACGGCCCCGGGTGCAGCAGCCCGGCCACGTCCGGGAAGCGATAGGCGAGCAGGTCTTCCACTCGAGGCAGAGATCCCTTCGGACTCCGACTGCCGATGGAACTGTTCCCACGTCTTACTCAGCTAAGGCTGAGTAAGGCTGGCAACCCTCGGTGTTCGAGAGGTCAGCTCCTCCCTCTCCCCCAGCACTCCGCCCGCGGGCGCCGCCGCGCCCCTGCCCTGGGCGGCACAGCCCGATCAGCTCCGCTCCTCCCGGGATGGCACAGCCCGATCAGCTCCGCTCCTCCCGGGACGGCACAGCCCGATCAGCTCCGCTCCTCCCGGGATGGCACAGCCCGATCAGCTCCGCTCCTCCCGGGATGGCACAGCCCGCTCCGCACTCAGGGCCCGGGGGCAGCTCTCCCCACAGGCGGGTGCACGCGTAGCACCAGGGATTCTGCATGCAAACATTTGCCTCTAGCTAGATTTCGTGTGTCCCCACAAAACGACACTGTGTTTATCTAGACCCGATGTGACAGCTTCAGCCACCCTCAGACAGGTAGGGTTCAGAGAGCTGTAGGGTTGCTCTGAGGTGAGCCTTTCCTAGGGCAACCCAAACCCCGCAGCAGCACCCTCACCTCCCTGTAGCGTCCAGTCTTAACTGCAGAATGATGCTCACTCAATTACCTTGAAACACAAGACCGTGTTTCCTTCAAGACCATTTACGTAAGACACAGTCTTGTAAGTATGATCATATATGATATATATACAGTTGGCTCATATATCGTATTAGATATGATCACTCCTAACTTCAGCATTATCCTAGAACTCAAGACTCCCCACCATCCCCCAAAAAATCAGGATTTAAGCAATAGGTATTTCATACCTCTCTCTTGAGATTATCAGGCACAGAGTATTTTCTTCTGATCTTCCAGAACCAGGTAACTGACTTGAGAAATACTAAAAATACTTTGTGATATTTCTTTTATTTTCCTCTGGGGAAAAAAACCCCTTACTCACTGTAGCTATGGAATTGTTACTTACTTTATAATACAAGAAGATAAGTTGTTAAAAACGCCACTATTAACTCATTGCCTTAAGTTTCTTTGTGTGACCTTGTTCACAGTGTCCTATAAAGCAGCAGCAGTTGACTTGTGTAATCTTTTTCCATTTTCAGCATCAAACTTCACCCACTGCTGAAATGAACCCTTCCACAGTGCTGATACAGAAATAAACTCAATTACAGAGGTTAAATTAAGATAAATTCTTAACAGTTCAGGCCAGATGAGATACCCTGGCTACAGCTCAATAGATTCCATGGTTCTGCTTCTCCCTGGGCAGTTTTCCTAAGGGTTCAGGCTGTACTCTGCACTGCCACTGCCTGGGAGACTGGTCCTACAATAACCTTGTCAGAATCCAACCCTATTCATACCTTTCTTCCCAAGGGGCACCACTCCTTGTCGAGCACACCTGACTCCTCAGCCAGTATTTTCATGCAGACCAGCCTTCACCGATGCCTGTAAGAACCACCACCCGCAAAGTGTTCATCTAGAACATGCAAAAGTTGTATAAAAATAGATGCAAACATGCAAATGGAAACAACGTATATAACCAAAACACAGACAACTTGCAAGCTTTATGAAAACAAGCTTAGCCCTTCACTGTTTTCTCAGAGATTACTAACATCAAGCAGTACCTGGGAGTAAACTACCTTCCGGGAGCTCACACGTCCCTAAACACTAACGGCATAATAAGTAAGCATTTAATAATTCCTCGTGACTCAGATATTGAACAAGTGATGCATTTCAAACAACTGTCAGGACAACTTTCCAGCCGGGCTGCAGCACCCCGCACCTCCACGAGCTCCCTACCGGCCCCGCTGGTTCCTCGGTGTGGGCTTTTGTTAAGTTGTTGACTCCGAGGGCCGGCCACAAATAGCGCGGCACACCCGCACCGACCCGCCCGAGGTGCCGCGCTCAAGTTCACACAAGGGCGCCAGACCCCCCCGGCCCGGCGGGGGCGCCCGGGAAGGGCCGCGGGGCCGCCGCTGCCTCCCTTTGTCTCCCGCAGGTGAGCGAGCGCCGCCCGCACACGGCGGCTCGGGCGGCCCTGCCCGGCTGCCCCCGGGCACGGCGGGCCCGCCGGCACTGCCCAGGTGCGGAGCTGCCTCCCGGCGCCGCCCGCGGAGCGGAGCCGCTGCCGCCGCCGGGGGCACTGCGGGGCGGCGCCGCCCGGACCCCTCGCGGGGCGCCGGGCGCGGGGGGCGCTCCCGCCGGCGCCCCGGGACTGGCCGAGAGGGCGGCACCGCACCGGGGGGCGGCACCGCGCCGGGGGCGCTGCGGCCGCCCTGCGCCGGCCCGGGCGCGGAGGTGCCACCGCGGGGCCACCCAGCCCTGCCCGATCGTCCCGCCGGCGGCCCCGCGCTCCTCCCCGCTCCCGCTCCTCCCCGCTCCCCCCCCTCCCCGCTCTCCTCCTCCCCGCGCCGGGCCGAGCGGCGCGGCACCACCGCTCACCTGCCGCCCCGGGCCCCGCTCCGCCTGCGGTCCCTCCGGTTCCCGCTCCGCTCCCGCCGCAGCCCCGCCGAGTGTCGGCTCCGGGCACGGCGGCGTCACCGCTCCGCGTCACGTGCCGGGGCGGGGCCGCGCGGGGGTGTGGCCTCGGGGGCGTGGCGGGGGCGGGGCCCCGGACCCCGAAATTGGGGATCGCACTGGGCATTCCGTCCGTCCCGCCGTCCGTCCTACTACACCCCCCTAAACCGACCCAATGCGGCCGCTACAGTGATACCATCATCATCTAATTCACACGGTGGTGTGAAACATCTCGGCCTTTCTGTCCCCAGTAAGAACAGCAGATGGAAAACAAAAACTGCACCCCTTCCTCGCTGCAAGTAAGGGTCGATCTGAGTGTTAAATAATGGATAACTGAAGAAACTATATTTTTTGAGTAATAAAATAAATAATAAAATAACTAATTAGTCCTTGTCTGTTACACCTTGTCAGTTACAACTTACTTGTTGTCTCTTGTTGTTAAAAGTATTCACACATTGTATGGGAATATTTAGGTGGCCTTCACAGCATTTTGAAATTATGAGTAATCTTATCTTTCTCCTTTAAAAAATGGCGTCTAGTTCTCTTGGTTGCAAAGATAACCTTGAAAGCATGAACTGACTGTAACTGATACAGCAGTATCTGAATGAATCTGCAAACATCCTGAAACAATGGCATGGAGACTGTAAACTGTCTGCACTCCATTAATCTAATGAAGGCTAATGCTGGCCTGACTTTTTCTTTGATTATTTTAACACGCGGAAGAAGGAAGGAGACAGTAAAATCGTCAGAAGGTGGAAAGAACAGGTTTGCTGACGGAAGGAAAGGCAATGGCAAGAAACCAGATGAATTCCAGTAAGAGACAGAGAGAAACAGACTCTTATTGAGGAAAAGATAAAAAATAACATCAATAGGCGTAATTGAACATGTGGACTTATTTTCATACTGACCCCCAATTCATACTGAATTTGCACTATCGATATTTTCTTGATGTCTCATAGCAGGTGTTATATGACAAACATGTAAGACAAGTAGTAAACACTGCACATACCTTATAGTTTTGCTTCTGTGTATCTTAGCCTGAATACTTTTGAGAATGTCTCCTTGACACACCAAGAATCATTTGACTCTGGGCTGTCTGTTTACAAAAAAAAACATTATTAAAATTCTGTTGATGTTGTGAGGCTGATACCACTGTCACACCTACTCCTTCAGCAGTTATTCACAGTCTTCAAGAACAAACTGGAGACCAGGATTTCTATTGTAAGGGAAATAACATCTTGTATATGGATGTTTATTTATCATTAAAAGGCAAAAGGAACATGTAAAAGGACAGTAGTTTTGTATTCATACTTACACTTTTGTAAATTACATATAATGAAAAAGATATAGAGTAATTCAGGGTAGGGTGTTTGGCTGGATGTTTTTGTCTAGTAGGATTCTATCTGTATGTCCAGTTTTGCGGTAAAGAATAATATACTTGGGACATTTGATTATTTCTGAGCAAGCTGACTGCATTTTACCTACTGACATGCCTCAGGTATATATAAAAGCATCTCAAAAATCAGTCATAGTAACCACACTGTAATTATCCTTCCTTACTGCCAAGGCTTTACTAGAGTGCTGCAGGATATGGCATTAGTGATTCAGTCTGAGGCACTCTTCCCTCTGAGTCAATGTTGAACCAATGGTCCCACACAATATCAACATGCATAATAGAGCCAAAGGTGCCAGAAGATATGTAATTTTGAGTCCCTGCCCAAGTGCAGTCATGAAAGATTCCACATTACACATAAACTGTCCAGTCCAGGTTCCAATTTTAGCATCTGTTATGTTTTCTGCCTTTGAAGGATTTCTCCATCATTTCACTGCAGTAGAAGGAGCTGGAGTTCACAACCTCTACTCACTGTGACTTTTTTCTCTTGGAGATGCAGGAGTGCTGTCATACTGACACCTCAGATGGGACTATATGTATATGTTAATTGGAAACATCCAGTACATGTATTGACCCCACAAATCTCAGATTGAAACACTGCCACCTGTAATTGCTTTGTGTAGCATATGCAAGCTATGGTAGAAATTACAGTTCATGTATCTGTTGTATTCTGAATGTTCTGTATAATAACTTCCACACAATGACATCAATCTCTGTATTTATAAACAGATTCCTTACAAAAAGTCAGAGTTTGAACTGTGCCTGTCTGTTCTGTTAGGCCAGACTTTCAAAACCTTTGTCCAAATTTAATTATGTTTGCAAAAAGGAGTTGTCCTAAAGGCAGGTAAGCTCCCACACATTCTGTTAAAGCAGTCAGCCATACAAAGGTGAAGAAGCCACATAAGAAAGTGACATTGTAAATGCTGCAATTCTGGAGAAAAAGTTGATACTTACAATCTATCATAAAACACAAATCCATAGAAAACAGTCTTCATAGTTCTGAAAATCCGGTCTTGGAAAAATCCATTTCTGGTGTTTGAATTAGACATAGAAATGTTACTTTCTTTCATTAGATTCAAAGTTCTGAAGTACCAGGGTCATATGGCTAAAAAGATGAGCTACTAATTTTGAAGGGCAAATTCCCATTTTACTTTTTTTCTGTTCTTTTTCTTCTGATTCTGTTTCAAATCTCTGCAAGTTCAGCTGTCCATTATTTTATGCCTCAGTTCAGTAATTCTAGATGTGTGTCATGTTTTAATTAATTTGAAACGCATATCTGAGAGTGCCTGTTGCTATCCTATTACTCATAGTGCCAGGACTGATGTTAGGTAACCAGCAGAAATGTGCTGCTTAAAACGTGATCAGTATTAAACCTGGGTTGTTTATTCATTGTTTGCCACCCCTCCTCACCAAACAGACTAATCTCATTATGAACTATGTTGATTCTTTCTTTCGGAAGTGACCGAGAAAGCAAATACAAGAAGCTTTGTCACATCTAAAAGGCAGATACTGCAAATATCCACCTTGTTCATTTGATATTTCCCTGGGTTTTCATTCCTTTTTAGAGACTTCTTCTCTGTTTGATCCTATAATCTCAGCAGTGATATGCACTAGAGAAACCATTCTGAATTTAGACAAAGGCACTTAATTCAGCAAACAGTTCTGATATAAATAGAAAATATTTTTATTTTACTTATAATACTGTTTAAAAATTTATTTTATTAAATGGCTCAATTTGCCTGATATAAAACACGTTACCTGTGGCATCTCCTGTCTACTCTGCTCCTACTCTCGGGTTTTTTACAGCTTCCAGCCTCTCACCTCTATCTAAAAATACTTCTACCACCTACACATAGACATACAATCAATCCCTCCTTTCTGTTCTTTCTCAGTACTACAAAAGCACTTTTTCACAAAGTGCAGATGCTGTGGGCTTTTTGCATGAACTTGACAATTTACTCTCCATCTCCTGACTCAACTAACAGATGAGCCATTTTTATTTATATAACTGTGCATTATATGGAAAATCAATTGACAAGGGAACAACTAAAGTAAAGAACATAGAAAAAGGAACCCAGATTCCTCTGAAGTTCGGCAAAGAACTTCTTTCACCATGACACTACAAAGGAATGTTCTCTGCCTTAAGGAGGAACTTTTATCCACAGTTCAGAGAAAATTACTTGTTTTACTGTGAAAAATCAGCAAGGAATTTGTAAATTTTTTCCATTTTGCCAGCAGATTATTTTTGCAAATCTTATTAACCAGAGTGGACAATGTCCAACACATGTTTTTTTACTTTGCTCTGTTCATTAGCCACATGGCTTTTATGGTGTTCAGCATTTACATCTCTCTCACATCACCCAGTGGAAGCTGTGACAAAAATTCAAACACGCCTATTGTTTGTATTAGCAGTCTCAGTTTGCAAGTAAAGGACAGTTTTTTACAACTATCTGATTGTCAGCATTACTAAAGAACAAAGTGGGGTTTGTTTTGGTAAAATTGATCCTTTAATTCTACTCTTGCCAGGACCTGGCTCACTGCTTACCTGTGAAGTTAAACTGTTTATGTCTCCTTGAGCATGGTGTTCCAAACTATATCACTTCTATGTTGAGCACAAAAATATACCTCTGAGTCACAGCACAGAATTAAAAGTGGAGAACGGTAGTGGATAAGTTCCTGACAGAATAGCTAAAGCTGACAGTGGCTGAAGTGGGACATTTTCTTTGTGCTACCTTGACTTAAGACCTTTGTGTAAGCTAAATCTTAGTCAGCTCTGCACAGCCAGTTGTGTCTTGATTTCATCATGATCTGAGCTACCAGACAAAACATACAAAAGGCACAATTAATCCATTAAATAATGACATCTCTTTCCTGGCATAAACCTATAATGAAAAATGCTGATATTCAAAAAAGCATTATGTAAATGTCCATTTATACCTTGAAAATTAAGGACAGTCCTGCATCAGTGTCTTTCATTTCTAAATACATTATTTTTTTGTCCAGTGGAAAGGAAGGAAATATGTCTATGAACCACTGATAAGCAGAATAAAGATGTTACATAGCTGTGCAAAAAAAAAAATTTAACAAAACCTTGCGTGTTAAATTTTTTTCATTTTTAAGTTCATTTTATTGTACTGCTCCAAATTCAGGCTTAAGGAAGATACAAGAGGGAGTTTCTGGTTCCCCAAATCACACAAGTTCAGAATCTGCTCCAGTGCAAGGGCCCAGCATGACTTGGTAAACAACCCGCTTGCTGATGGGTGCTCTGAAACTGGAAGCTCCAACTCATACTGCAAGTTTCTAGACCCATGCAACCCCAGAGGCTTCTCAATGTCCAGTGAAGTTCCCAGTGGGCAGTTAAAGTGAAGTTACGTGAGGTTGTCTGGTTAATACTGAATATTTTTTATGAGGAACAGCAAAAATTGATAGACTGGGTGGGGTTCACCTCAGTTTAACAGGCATAGCAAAGAGTCAGGGGAGAGGTTCATCCTGCCCAAGGTTTTTTGAGTGTCTGTTAGTGTGTATCTGCATCAAAGATAGGTGTCTAAGCTCCCTTCGGACTCAGTGGAGTTCTATTTGTTACAG